CAGAGAAACGACCCGAAATGCGTCGTTAAGCGTCTCTCGTGCAACGAGACGTTCATAATTCACTTATTTTCGCGGTATTTTCGATCGAGCTGGATTCAGGTGCAGGATCTCTCGATCCGCTGCAGCAACAATTCAGCGATCGTTGTGACGCAGAATCGACTGCGTTGGACGATCCAGCTGCACGCTATTTGCCACGACTGTCTAAATCATTGCCTGTCAAATATTTGCGGAGAAAATAAACACGGTGAAATAGTGCGTGTGTGTGAAAACTTCGCGACGAAGAAGAAGCTGGAAATTCAAAGGATCTTTGTATTCTGATGAATTGTTCTCTGATCGGACTTGTGGAACAATGGGGCTAGACTCGAGGAGAGTAAACAAACATTTGAATGTAGACAATGAGATCAGGTTGGATGAGTTGCACGCTTTCGTGTGATTAATAGTTTTTTCGAGGCACTTTTGGTTTGCAGAAATATTTTCTTCGTTTCAACGGAGTCTGTGGGTTTGGAGATCTTTTGGTTGGAGCGTTGAGGTGAGTTTGCGTTGATTTTGAAAGTCTGCAGAAGTTTGTAATAGTTTTTGGACACTTGTCAAGTTCAGTCAGAAGTGAAGAGTTGAAAATTGTAGGTGAAATTGTAGACGTTAAATCGACAGGCGTGTTTCACTTGTCAATAAAAGGATACTAATTTCGTTTGATCAGCGATAAGGCGATCGTTCGTCGGTAAACATTCGTGTTGCTTTAAAATTCTATCCTGGGGCTCGATAAATCGGCAAAACGACGAATAGATCATTGTTCTAAATATTTCGACGAATTAGCTTCCATAACTGCGACAGGCTTGCATAAATTGCACTTGTGCAGAAAATTTCTATGAAATTTCTCGTCCCAACACTTCCAACATTTCATTTTTCACTTCATTTCATCTCGCAAAATTTGCAAATTTGAAGAAAAGAATTTTCACGAAGGAAGAAGTGATTGGACCTCTTAAAGATTCACCGTTAGAAATTCACCAGAAGTTCAGGTTCGCCTTTAATTCATGTACATACATTTCACGGTCCTTAATACACTTCGCTGTTTGGAAAGTTTCGCGAGCACCCCAAATACCATCAGCTTCTTCCGCGTTTCTTCTCTGCCCTTTCTCTGCTCGTGACAACCGTGAGGAATTTTTTAAATGGTCCCTGCTGAAAATCCCAGTCACGAAACAGCTACGCTAATTAGGTGAGTTCTGGAATCGCGAAATGAAGTTACGCGGATTACGTGTGCCCCGAGATGCGACATTCTTTCGCGGCTCCCAGCTATTTATAGGGGAAGCCTAGAATTCAAATGAAAGCGATAAATCGTTGGCGAAAACGGACGAGCAACAATGTGCCGTTCAAGTCGGTAATAAATTGGATCGCATGATATGTCGGGTTAAAGATAAATGGTCCTACGATGACGATATTCCGTCTTTAGTTCGCTGTTTATTTTTAGTTTGGTTAATTTGTGTGTGTTTCGTCTCTTCACTGACAAGTAGATACTTGAGCTGTAAATGTAGGCTGTTGCAATGATGATAATAGTTATCTGGTAGCTGATAAATATGAAAAACAATTGAATTGTGCAATGGCAGTTGACGAAGAGTTGAATTATTAACGATCGGTTAATTGAAGTTAACCAAAATCTGCTGAAATGGACAGGTACACTTCCAGAGATGCTTTTTTAATTGTACAAACACGTGGAATAAGAAGATAGCTGCAGTAGATAATTGGAGAATCGAATAAGAAGCGATTAATCGATAAAAATTAACCGAGTATTGCTGAAACGAACATATACACTTCCTGAAATACTTTTTTAATTGTACAAACACGTGGTGTATTAAGATAATCGCTATAGATACTTCCAGAATTGAATTGGCAAGGATTAATCGATTAAAATTGGCCAAATTTTGCTGAAATGAACAGATACACTTCCAGAAATACTTTTTTCATTGTACGGACACATGGAATATCGATATAATTGGAATAAATAATTGTAAAACTGAATTAGTAATGACTAGTCGATTAAAATCAACCAAATATTGCTGAAATGACCAGATACACTTCCAGAAATACTTTTTTCATTGTACGGACACATGGAATATCGATATAATTGGAATAAATAATTGTAAAACTGAATTAGTAATGACTAGTCGATTAAAATCAACCAAATATTGCTGAAATGACCAGATACATTTCCAGAAATACTTTTTTAACCGTCCAAACACGTGATGTGTCGAGATAATTAAAATAAATAATTGGAGCGTTGAATTACACACATGGAGTGCTACTGTTTTTCGTTTTTCATTAAAGGGAACACAATTTCGAGAGACAAACAGTGCAATAACAATGAAAAAGAGGTAAATTGAAGTAGCAAATAAGAAAACAGGAGAGTAAACACTCTTAAAATTCAAACGAACGCGATAGACCCTCGAAATGTACGAGGAGAATTTATTTATTCAACGTACACAGTGGCTTTATCGTAAATGTTACCGCTGATCGTAAAATTCAAATCTCGCCTCAAATGTAAGCCTCTTAACTTCCATCGCAATTTGTTCAACGCTACGTAGTGTCAAGAAATAACATACAGGGTGGTCCGTTTGTCTCTTCTGTCTGAAATATCTCTGCTGCCTTTACCAATAGAAATTATCGTCTTTGGTGGAATTATTCGATTGGAAAGGATGTATATTATGATTGATAGAACACCTTTCGACGTGTATATTTATGGAAATACACGTTGAATCGCAGATTTTACACTGTTCTCGAGTAAACTAAAGTCTATTTTGGCAATTAACTAACGATATATCCTGTATCATAAGAGTAACATTGGACTTAACGAAAATCTAATTTTTTCACATCCGAGGTTATTTAAAATTCACAAAAGTATAGCTTGCTTAATTTTTCGAAAAATTCTCTGCAATACCATTTGAAAAAAAATTAGGTTTTATGGAACGGAAAAAAATGCAGATGATCTTGGATTGCTACAAGAAATGGATACAATTTTTTAAAGACGATTTAGTTGGTCCTGAAAGTAGCGAAGATGTTTGAAGTGCGACCACCCGGTACATATTCAAATAAATGCGTATTTGAGGAGGGGAAATGGCTCGATATAAATTGTCACGTACAAATTTATCGAATGTTTGAAAAATCGATTACTTCTGTGGGATACATTTCATTACGACTGCCGGTTATTTATGGGAGAAGACACGAGTTTTTCGGCACATTTTACCCATTATATTCCACCCACGAGGATCGGCAAATGATGGATAAGCTGCTTTCTTTATGCAAAGTGACCGTCTCGGGAAGCTACGACGTCAAAAGAGCAGTGTGAACGATGGACTCGAACCCGAGAAAGCTTTCGGTGCGCCAATGCTATCGATTGGAATCTCATTTGAGGAATAAAAAGTCTTTTACGTCTGAAATCACGAGTCTGGAGATTTTTTCCAATTCGATCGTAATTAATACTTAAATTATAAAGATGATACGAAAATTCTTCTCTGCCTTCGAGCAATATTTGCATACGTTCTGTGTAACGTTAATTTTATTTAATACCAATTTTATGAAATTTGCAAACTCTCATGATTATATGAAGAAATTGCTCAAAATTATCGTGGAATTTTATTCACACTATCTTGTTCCGAACGTAAAATATTCACGATGGAAATATTCATTATCGTAATAATCATAATTCGTTAGCATTATGAGACAGAAAGCGAACCTCCTTTTTTTTTACGACATAAAATGGATTTAAACGTGTAGTCGAAAACACTCGAAGATAAATGGCGAATGGCTTATCGTGTCCACCGATACGATTTGCGATGCGAGGAAATTTTGGTCCTACATTTGATAGACGAAGTATCTGTGTCTATGCGGGTGCCCACATTTTTGTCTGTTAAATAGGAATTTTCGGTAGCGAGGTCGATGCTTCAAGATCGTTAACTTTCACCAAGTTTTAAAAATCGAACACGTCGAAGTATTACAATGCTTGTTCAGGTAAAAGAGCACAGCTCGTTGATATTCATCTATTGGAATTACGAAGGATCCTTTGGGCGTGTAGCGGTCCATTAAATCGGACTAAATCGATCATTCTCGAGAAGGTAGAAGTGTACGGGTGTGAAGTAATATTTATTCAGCTATTCGGAGAATGCGGACAGTCGTTGGTGTCCACTTAGAGTGGAGGAAAGGTGGATGGTCATATTTATTGGTCTTCCGGCAGCAAAAATTTTAGTAAGGCACCTTTGTGTAAGTTCTGAGGAATTGTAAAGTAAGGTACGGTTGTTTACGGGAAATATGGTGGGATTGCTGTAATTTGTGAGTTGAAAGGAAAGCTGTAAGTTCAAATTTGAAATTTGAAGATTTGAGAGTTGGAAAATTTGGAATTTGAAGATTTGAAAGTTGGAAAATTTTAATATTTGACATTTGGCAATTTAGAAGTTTGAAAATTTGGAATTTCGATATTTCAGTATTGGAAAGTTTGAAAATTTGAAGATTTGAGTATTTGAAAATTGGAAAATTTAAATATTTGGAATTTGCCAACGGAGAAGTTTGAAAGTTTGAATATTTCAATATTGGAAAGTTGGAAAATTTGAATATTTGAAATTTGGCAACTCAGATGTTTGAAAATTTGAAATGTCAATATTTGAGTATTGGAGAGTTCGAAAAATTAAATATTTGAACCTTGAAATCTCGCAAGTTTGAAGATTCCAAAATTTAAATATTTGAACGTTGAAAACTCGAAAGTTTGAACGTTAGAAAATGATTAATTTCAATACTCAAACATCTGAAAATCCAAAAGTTTGAGAATTGATATATTTAAAACCTCAAACCTTGAAACATTAAAAATTCGAAACTCCCGAGGATCACGCCTGAATTCCGAACATTAAAGATTATAAACCGTTCAAAATATCCCCGATATAAAAAATAATATGACAACATAATTGCGACATTTATCACAAGCAGAATACGCTAACAAGGACAATTCGATTGAACTTCAGTTGCAGTAGTAGTGGCGTTCTTCATCTGCTGGGCACCTTTCCACGCCCAAAGGCTGTTGGCTGTCTACGCGCGAAGTCGCAAGCCTGTACCGGAAAAAGCGTTAGTAGTAGTCTACACCACTCTCACGTACGTGTCAGGGGTGTTTTATTACCTTTCGACAACAGTGAACCCCCTGCTCTACAACATCATGTCCAACAAATTTAGGGAGGCTTTCAAGGTAAGTTATCACTTGAGAATTCCTAACTGAAAACTTCCTTGTCAACAGTTCTCTACCGATTATCAATCACCTTCCACGTATAATACCTATGTCTACTTGTACTTCGATTGTACCTTGCAACTTAAACTTAAACTCAATGCCGCTTCGCAGAATTAACAGAAACTAGTTTCATATTCTCGACACCTTCGTTAACTGCGGAACCACCTTCTTAAACTACCGTTAAATTGATTCGCTTTCGACTCTGCTAATTACCGCAGCTATGGAATTCATTTTTACTCGGTGTAACTTGATTACTGAAAACCATTCTACGGTATATTAAAAATAATAATTGTGTATTAGAAAGTTACGAAACTTCGTGAATCGAGCTTACTGAACTAAAGGAAGGAATCTTAAAATTGCCTAAATTAGAGATCTAGAAAAATTGAATCTATCACTTACGCTGCATTACATCGATCTTTTTTAGGAAATATTTTTCAATACACCCGAAAAAAAAAGACAATCCGAAATCTCAAAGAGAAATAGCCGAAATACCTCGAAACAAAAAATACACAATTGAATAGCCACTTTGGTATTAAATACCAGAGACACGAATGCAAATTGTCCCACAACACCCTCTCCCAAACTGAAAATTCCGAAGAGATGACGATCAAGTCCGACAGAGTGCGTTAAACAAACTGAAGTTAACTTTCAGTCGATGCTGTCGAATCACTGCGGCCGGAAGTGGTCCTCGGGGGGACCTGTACCTCGACGACCGACCTACAGCAGCCTGTCGCGGTACTCCAGGTCCACGTTCAAGCAAACAGACGATCGTCAGAATTCGCCGTCAATCTCTGTCAGTGACGACAATCAAAAGTTGACGAACGTCTCGCGGCCAACGAACGCGACCGAGATGAACGGATTAACGGAACGAAAGAACCACGAGCAGAACAGTCGACTTGGCTCGAGGGTGAACAGGATGAATAAACGGGAATTCGGGAGAAGTATATCGAGAGGATCGAACTCGAGCCAGTTGACGCTGATGACGTCGATCAGCAAGAGTTACAACGAGGGTAACAACAACGTTGCGGCCGCTTGCGTGAACGAATGCCTGTTGAAGATCCAGAGACCACCTAGATCTGTTGGTAAGTTGGTAAGTTGTGCCAGAGACGTTTGGAGTTTGGGTGGAATTCGTGAAATTTCCGAGATGAGCGTGGGGAATCAAATGGAGAATGAAATTTTTGAGAAAATCGAACGAGTAAATTTTATTCTATGTTTGCCGTTTATTTTTGCATAAGGAATCTATGCACTTTTGCACGAGGAATATATGTACATATGTGCTCTTTAATTTTTTTTATTTTTTTTTTTTATTATTTTTACAGTATTGTGTAATGTTGTCCAATTACGATAACACAAATTAAGCGAGCAAAAGGCGTTTTATTGAACACTAATCGTGATATGTACGTCTGCACGGTTTTACAGACAGTTTCCTACTAACAAGTTGTAAGTTGCACTTAAAATTGATGACAAAGTAAGTGGTTGCAACAGCGAAAGTTCGGCAGTGCTATTGAATAAAAAAATTCACGCAAATACGCAACAGTCAATCATACGATCTATTTTAAGCATTAAAACAGAACACTGTGAACAATCTCGCATCGTTTCTGAAATTCGAATGAAGAAATTGTTTTCTATATTTATTATTTATACTTTCATAAAGAATCACCGAGTTTGTATACTTTCAGTCGCACCCTACACATTCTCCTCTATTTATTTATTTACTTTTCTTTCGTAATTTAAACGAGGAAAATTTATTGGACAGACACTCGTTTATCAGCGCGATCTCCAAATATTTGTCGAGCGCCTGAAATTCGTTGTAAAATGCTCGCAGTTCGTTAGGTACCTGCAAACGAGCGGTAATTTAGAAATTCTACCTGTTATACTCATTAGCGGCTTGAAAAGTTCTCCTTAATTACAACTCCTCTGCTAATGGTTGTACTAATCGATAACATTCGTTCACTTGCACTATTCAACCTACCTTAAAATATACAATCATATTTCTCACAATATCTATTTCAAAATGGCCCCGTTCTATCGTCACACCTGTAAAACACCTGAAATCGTAATTGAACCAGTTCCAATCTCTCCCCGAACAGGAATTCTAGCGGAAAGATTGAGACTTGGAACGAAAGGACTGTTTTCGCCGCAACAGAAGATCGCAACCAGTCCATCCGCGAAACCGGAAGTCATGACAGCTCTATCGCCGCAGTTTCAAAGTCATCCGAGCATCGAGAGCGCAAACACCATCAGCAACTCGAGTCTGCAGGATTTCGACGAGACAGAGTTCACCGGCACAGAATTGGCGCGATACATGGGCGAATTGAACTGTGATTTGATCACCTGACGCTCGTTTCAGATAGAACAAAGACGTTCCTCCGTCGAATGAACCAGTGGTTTCATCTCATCGTGTTCTCGATCTTCGCAAGTTAAGTAAATTGGTGCTTCGAACGTGAAGACTCTCGAGAAGAGAGAAATTCTGAGAAATTTGGAAAATTTCAGAAGTTAGAGACTTACTTCGACGAGCTCGAAGAGAATCCTCGATTTTAATCGATAGCTTAAGAAACCGAAATGAACAACTTGATTGTAAATACATTATTTAAAGCTACGTAGAAATAAGCGTGAATAGTGTGAACGACGATGTTGCAGTTTTTTTCTAAACCACTCTCTTCGGAGTATTTTCTGAACACTTTACGGTACTGCTTATAATTATCAAGCTTAAAGAAAAGGGAAACGAAGCAGCGATGAGAACGAATGGAAAATAACGGTGAGCAGTGCTGTAAATAATTTAATGAAATACTTCGAGCTTTATACATTCTTGTACTTAACTAAATGATCGATCGAAACGTGGTGTACCGATCGATGGTAAATAGAAATACGGATAATACACGAAAAATCCTCGAGACACAGAAGAAAACTTCCCTTGATGAGTGACCGTGTATGTGTGTGTGTAAATGTTATTTATTTTTGTACTTGCATCGTGCAATAACGACGGATACAAAATCCTTCCACATTCTCTATTCGCCTCTTCGTTCGCGTAGTCTACATTGGAAACGCTGCATTTGTATCAAGCACGACGTAATGTTAAACAACGTGCGATTGTGAGTAATTTTCTAACCAAAAGAAATAAACGAGTCGCGAGTCGTTTTCGGGGGAAAGTTTTATTCGATCTTCAGTTCTCGGTTTCATTGCTGACAATTGAAAAGTGGGGATCTGTTTTTACATCAGGACCTTTGGGCGTTGAGCGAGATAAGCTTTAATATTGGGCAGCGCCCTAACCTTATCGAGCAGCTTCTTCAGCTCGGGATGGTCCTTGGTCAGCTCTGATTCCTGGATGTTGGACAACATCTCTGCGTAAGCGCCGAACAGAAGATCCGCCCAGGACAGCTGTAATAAAAATGGAACGTTCACAGTTGGGGAATGAGGCGTGATAAGATTGCAAGAATTCTGGAGAACTCGAGAAAGATGAAAGAAAGTGGTTAATTGAATTTTCGAGTGAAGAATTTACGGAGAAAGATAAAGAAGATTTATACCGGATTTTTGAAATGAACGAGTTCCTCCGGGAAACTCCAAATCGGGTAAAAGTTCGATATTTCAGAAACTGTACAAAATTTTCTGCTTTTACGTGAATATTTATACATATTGAATTTAATTTGTAAAAACTTATGCTTAGTTGTTAAAAAGTGTGTGCTTTGTTTTCTGTGTGAAATTATATGCGGCTATTGCTCGTTTCGATTCAGATGGCTATTTAAGGCTACCACGTCTATTAAACTTATATTTATCGACTCATATCCAAACGATTGCTTAAGTTTCTCAGTGATAGAAACAGAAGATAATCACCTTTCCACCAACCAAGTATCCTCCGTTCTTCTTCACCTGTTCCTCGAGCTTCTGAAGATATTCAGGACGTTTGGTGTCAACCGCGGCCTTCAGTTTCTCTTTCTGCGCCTCGTCCTTCTCCCAGTGGTATTGCGAAAACGCTGTAGAATCATTGCAATCGTAAAGTACCGCAATCAAAATACAAACAAACATCGTGCTCCTTCGTCTCGTTTATCTTTCACGATTGTCGGAGAATAACAAGCGCGATAATTCGCGAAACGTCGAAGCATGTGGGTTAAGAAAACACGGCGATACTACTCACCTACTCTCAGATCTTCGATCGTATCGATCGTTGCATCGATCTCGTAGGCTTCGTCGTCGCTGCTGCCGTAGAGTTTGTTCTTCTTGGCAAGGAGACGGCCGATAGCTTTGGATTGGTGATACTGCTTGCCGTCGATCTCCAAAATGGGCACTTGACCCAGTGGCATCTCTGAGAGATTTATGGCGAATGGTTATGCGTGTGGAGGAATTGAAGTTGTAGGTCGAAAATAGATAAATTGGTGGATATTTCAATTTTCTTGGTTCGAGACAGGAAAGTTTGGTTGTAAAGTCGATCGTTTTAACCCTCATCCGTCCCTCGTGTCAATTTGACACACTTTTCCGGTAAAAAAATTGTATTATTCGGCTATTTGTAGAAAAATTTCTTCGTTCATTTTCTATATTTAATACAAGAATTTACAAAATTAATTATTTATCTTCTCGTTTCATTGATTTTCTACCATTGTGTCAAATTGACACCGAGGGACCTATTAAGATGCGAAACTAAGGGACGGAATTAAGTAGCAATTGATAAATGTTGAGGACCTTGGGTTTGAGACTTGAATTTCAGGACCTTGATAAATCGCTTTCGCCAAATGTACTTACGAGATTTATACTGTGGCCAATCGTCGAACGTCAACCTCTTGTCTTCGAACTTAATGCCACTGTGGTGCAGTATGAACCTGATTGGCTCACCAAGGCCAGTAACGTTGAAGTAAGTCAACTTGTAGCTAGGCATGATCTATAATAGACGAAGAGAATAGTATTTTGTAGAAAGGATGACATGATTTCTTGGTGCAAATTTTGTCTTCGTTGTACAGAATGTTTCTTTATTCTGTGAAGTTTATTTTCAGAAGAAAATTTTATTTACTGTTGTACATTGTAGTGGAAATGTTTGAACGATAGTGATACGATGTTTTTGCAATTATTTGTTCGATTTAATCTTGATAAAGAGGATTATTGTGGTATTACTGAGGTTGCATGTTTTCACCGTAGTTCTCACATAAAATGAAGGACACAATCGGTGATTACTCAACACAGCTAAATTGATTACTGATTACGCGCTATTGCGCGCTCAAGGTAATTTCGCTGGAGATATTGCACCACTCGGGTTCATTTTTATCGTGCTTATCTGCGGAGTGAAAAATTTGCACGTTATTTGAACCATATTGATCAATTATTTAACGTGTGATGAAACTCCGATACGAGAAATTGGATAATCGAAAGAATGGTGTTGTTTTGAAAATTGTGTGAATGAAAGTTGGGGAATTTATGGTTTAATAACTGAAGAAATGGGGAATGTGAAAACTGCAAGATTTTAAAATCCGAAAGTTTGAAAATTCAAACCTTTTTAATTCAGAAATTTGGAGGTTCCAAGGCATGAGAGTTTAAAAATTGAAAAATTGGAAAATTTGAGTGTCCCAAAATTTTTTAATTCGCAAATTTAAAGATTCGAAGACGTGAGAATTAAAAAATTTGACAATTCGAAAATTTGAGTGTCCCAAAATTATTTAATTCGCAAATTTGAAGATTCGGAAGCATACAAATTTTAATACTCGAAAATTTGAGTGTCCCAAAATGTTTTAATTCGCAAATTTAACGATTCCAAGACGTGAAAATTTAAAAATTCGACAATTGGAACATTTGAGTGTGCCAAAATGGTTTAATTCGCAAATTTGAAGATTCCAAGATGTGAAAATTCGAAAATTTGAGTATCCCAAAATGTTTTAATTCACAAATTTAAAAATTCCAATACATGAAAATTAAGAAAATTTCAAACAACGCGTGATACTAATGTTTAACATCTCCACATATGTACATTCCATCATTCTATTCTCACTCCCTGACACCAAGAATATTTCCCCAATTCCTCTAAATTTCTCTCCCTCCTAAACCATAGAAACAATAACGACAATTTCTAAAACACTTACAATTTCCCCTCGAATTTCAACTCTTCCAATTGACAAACTACATACTATCTAAATATTAACAACACATAATACTATTTACTCCTACACATACGTTCATCTCGTTTTCTACAACCGTTTCCGGCTGACCGTGTCACCAACCGGTATTCCTCTATCACATGTAACACGTTGTATTTCCTACTCTCTGTTTATTAACGTCCAGCCAACATTGGTACACCGGTGTTAGCGCAATAAAGTCCATTTTATTAGCTAGTTAACCGTGGTACACTATTGACGTGATTAACGGTACCAGTCTTAGAAACCGAGAGGCCCCGGTGTCGCTAATCAAAGTCAACGTCGCGGCTGTTAAACGCGCGATTCCACGTAATAACGAATAGCAAATTACTAGCCGCGTTACTTTCAGAATGTTCTCGAATGTTACACTGATGCTAGTCACGTGAACAGACGACCTCCATAGTCACTGAACAGTTGCTTTCTCTCAGAGATGACGGAGGATTTATTTGAACTACAGAGCTATTTCAACAATCGTGAACCATAATCTTCGCTTCTTCACAGTCGATCCAAATAGAAACCTGTTCCATGGTGTCGATGTTTCATTTTTTCGTGCAGATTATCGTTAAAGTCGTCGTCGTCGGATTGAAAGATGTTAGAAAAAATTTACGGCGTAATTGTGAATGAGTTACGACGATCGAAGGCTGAATTTGAAAAAAAAAGAACACAGTAAGTGTGGATAATAAAAATTAAAAAAAAAAAAAACAATTTTTTAGCTAATAGAGTGTTGTGTTAGAATTTTTCACACGAATCACACTAGATTTGTATAATCTCACAGTATTTGTATTTCAATATTTTTAGGAGTTATTAATTAAAAAGAAAAAAATATTGTATTGTAAGAAAAGATCAATTTTCTAAGTTCGGTCTTCAATTGTCTTTGGATCACACAGTGAATTTAAAAAATTTTAATTATCGATCGCGAAATTAAATCGTTAAAGTAAAAGTATATTTTCGAATGATGAACACTTAAAAAAATTCGTATGAACTTACGGAGATTTTAGAGTGAATCTGTTAGCGTTCTAAAGGTGATGATTTCACATAAGCAACTGAACGCATATGAAACGATCGCAGGCATTCATAAGATCTTCGCGTCGCACGTGATACAACATTCCCCCACCAATTTCAATTAGTCATGTTTGGGGCCATGAAATCGTACATTAACTTGAATTCTATGGTACAGCAACATCCTCTGCGATGGAACGTTGTTAATAGGTAAATCACCCTGTAATATAATGTAATGTAATGTAATATAATGTGATAAAATGTCTATGAATTGAACGATCTATTAAGTTCAATATCACGAGTGTTAAGGTTAGCCAAAAATATTAATCATGATCATACGGTATGTCTGAAGCGACGATCTCTGCTTTAAAAGGATGATTACGTTCCGTTTTTTCATCGTTGAACACTCAAGGCTGAATTTCACAGGTTAGACTGCCAACTGTTATGGGAGAAATAATTTCAAAAATTTTTAAATGGTTTAAAAGATAAATTGGTATTTTTTTTGGAGGTAGTTGTTGCAATGTAAAATTTAAAAAAGACAATCTTCTTTTTATTACTGAATTCTCAAAGCTGAATTTTAGAAATTAGCCTGTCAATTATTATGGGAGAAATAATTTCAAAAATTGAGTAGTTTTTAGTAAAAAGTTGGTGTTTTTCTACAGCTAGTTAATGCAGTATAAAGCAAAAAAAATGTCATTATATTTATTGTAATTTGAGTACATTGAATCAATTAGCGATTAAATATTGGAAACCTACGACGATTGCCAAAATTACACCCTATTGTAGAACAGAGAACGGGTTCACGAAACGTTGATAATCCGGCAAGTCATGGGGGGGAATCAGATACCGTTCTGTGCTATAAGAAGATTCGGTTTGATACGTGACTTAGCATTAAAGATAAAACATCGCGAAATTTCCAATACGAAAATATGATAAATATATAACTAACATTAGCATTTCGACAAACAAAAATTAAGAAAGGATTAAGATTTAAAAACACTTTGGAGTTTAAGATAAAACGTTCTGAACGGTAATCTACATAAACACGATTCACCACGATGGACATCAAGTTTGCGAAACTGATAATTGGACAATATTTTTCAATAGTCACTCTTGTAGAGATTAATTTTAGCTTTATCATGCTATAGTAATGATTCCGGTTAATGTTATCAGTGTATAAGAACATGAGTCAGCTTCGAGCAAACAGTAAAATACAAGCATCAGGTACTGAAGGAAATGTTACACAATATATCGATTGTGTAATTCTGTGAATCGATGTCCAGCTGCAATTGAAATAATCCGTGAATGGTTTAAAAGAGAATAAAACCTCTGTGATTTATCCCCAGTTCGAATTTCTTTCACAAATAACACAAACAAGAAGAAAGTTATTAAATGTTACGTAACACGTAATAACAGCGAACAATTTATTTCATCTATGACACTGAAAGGATAGTGTCACTTAACCTTCAAAAAACGTACGGTATTTATTTAGGCTTGCCCGAGAGGAAGTGCCTAATGCGATTTTATTTCTCTACAAGTTGTGTTCAATGTATATTTTGTATATTTAGTTTTAATTTCGACCACTATTAGTGTTGCAATCTAATTCTACGCGGGATCGGTAACGTCGCAAATGACACGAAAATGGAAATGGGTCACTAGAGTTCCAAAGTCATGTGACAGGAAAATACGTTGGACGAAAGGTGTACATATTCTATTTATATGTACATCGTTAGTGCTTATATTACGATTCAGATGGAAATTCCTCAATCGTAATTCACCGATCGCTTCCTTAAAAAATAACGAAAGAGATCAAATATTGTTTAGGCAATCTGCAAGCTTCTCAATCTGAAATTTTATGGGGCTTCGATTAACGAATAACATTCAAATGGCATGAAATGGAGCAGTATAATTTAAATATATAAAGAAGTAGCTTCAATGTATGTGAAATTGAAATCTTGACCAGTTAAGCGAGTTAGTAACCGTGTCGAGGCGTCCTTCGTCGCACTGCACCTTTCAAAGTGCAAATAATGTCAAGCGATCCAGAATAGATGTTTTTTGCTCGTCTTATCTACATCTAACAACACGACTGTCAGACTAATTACTTTACACGCTGCCTATCTTGTTTGTTGCACACAACTGTACGAGTCATTCCTCTGTAGAATCAGCGGGGTGTCTGACCTCAAAGTTGATAGCTGGACGTTTCTATCTTCCCGATAAAAGCTTTGTTGTTACATGATTTCGTATGTGAAAATTAATTCGTATTTAACTAGAAAATAATTCGATCGATTTAAACGAATTTCGAGTAGAATGTTCACGAAATTTAACAAACAAATTCGCGTCGTACTCAATTACAGTTGACGGTTCGTGTAGGTTCAAAGCTTTCGATAATAGCATCTTTCTTCGCGTCTAATAACATTTTATTCGTTTACTCTTAAATTAAATATAGTTTGGCAGAGATCACGTAAGATATGCTATCCCCCAAAATTAATAGGCTATGTTCTCGACTTTGAATACAAACAAACAACAAAGGAAATTATTAAAATGTTCTCTTTATTATTTCTGCAATGTAAAAGTAGAATATGGTCTCAGCAGTCTATACATCTTTGTATCTTTTCATACAAATACACAAATATAATTCTTTATTGTAATCATCAACCATGCATTAACGATGCCAATCTAAGGGAGCGCTAATTATTTGGTCTGGCTAGTAACTGGATCTAAAGGAAGTTAAAAGCAACTCGCATTCCATACGAAGGAGATTTTTCGTGCGTCGCAATTCTTCTCCAATCCTCCTGAACGAACCCCGATCGCGATCTTCAAGTTCTTACAAAAGCAATAAATATTTAGAGAGCGCAGATTTAGCACTCGGATTGTGGGCGCTTCTCAACCCAGCTCTTGATGGCAGGTAAACTGAGGACCTTCTCCTTCAATTGCTTCAGGTTGTCGTACTTCTCGATGAGGTCGGACTTCCACATGAAGTTCAAGTAGTCGAGCAAAGCAACAAAGGTCAAGTCAGCCCAAGTGAGAGCACCACCAACGAAGTAGCCACCGTTGTTCTTTACTTGAGCGTCCAGACGCTCCAAGTAGAATGGAACCTGCTCCTTTGCAATATTTTCCTTGGCAGCCTTGACTTCCTCGTTGGTTTCGTAGTGGAAAGCACCAATTTCTAAAAAATACAATTTCTTCCAGTTTAGAAGCCACTCACGTACACGATTTCGATACATCAATAATCGAACAAGTTACAATATACTTACTCAGACGGAGATCGTGAATAGAATCGACGATGGAGTCGATTTCAAGAGCTTCCAAGTCATTCTTTCCAGCTAGTCCAACTTGTTTAGCAACATAACGGGTAATGGCTACAGATTGAGCATATTTCTTTCCATCAACTTCAAGGACTGGAACCTGACCAAAAGGCATAGCTGAAAATATACAAAAAATAAAATAAAATAATCTATTTATTAACTCAGTCTAACTTTCTAATGTATTTATAAGATTAGAGATTATTAATCCTGTGTTACAACTGTGTATAAATAATTTCAATTAATTCCTTTTTTATTAAATTATCATAACACACACTTTTAACTTCCTGGATAACTATAAATGCTTATTGTCATCTACTTTCAAGAAGAAATCTCAGTTTATTGACAATTTACCAATGAACAAAGAGTATTGTCTCTTTAACAATACCTATTGTCTTTCAAGGCATCTCATAGAAGAATAAAAAGAATAAATAATAATCTCCATTGTGATCTTCATAAATATGTTCTACATTACACAGCAAAAAAAAAAAAGGAATGAGAAATAGAAAGCAGCATTGCAAAAATTGAATTTGTATGAAATTTAAATTTACTAGGCTTTATCTTTGGCCAGTCATCTCTGTTGAAACGGTCATCTTCGAATGGAATTCCACCATAGCTGAAGACAAAGCGGGCTGGTTCAGCCAATGCCTTAACTGGGAAGTAAGTTAGTTTGTAGTTGGGCATATTGCTGTAAGAAAAGAAAATATAGGGTGAAAAAACAGGAATGATTAAAATAAAAAATTATGTCTAATTCTTGTGAAATTCATCAACAATTATTCATTACTGGCACTATTACTAACAAAATATGAATGAAGATGATTTTAGATTAGTAAAAAAAAATAGAATTTGTCTATAGTAAAGTTAAGGTCAACTTGAAAAAAGAAAAATTGAAAATACATCTGCTATTCCAAAACTTTCAAATAACCATGACTTATAGTTGAAAGTAGTTCTGCATATCACCTTATACACTAAATATTAGCATTTTATCATTTGAATAAATTTTCAAAGATACTACTATGGAAACTCACATTACAAAATTATTTTCAAAATTTTTAACGAATAGTTCGAAACTATAGGATGCGAAGTACCGTAATTTTACAACTTTCGAACTATGATAAAAATTTTCTTAAACACAAATGTGTATTAAATTTATAAATTTAACGTCGAAAATAACGATTACACGCGCGGAATACTATTTGCTAACGTTAATGTCGGACATCTCTTAATAGCAATTTTATACTATTCTTAGTCAAACGCAAGCTTTCGTAACAGTGAAACCTTGAACGGAATTACTTCCTCTACAAATTTAAACGAACTTCTTCAAAAAGTATTCTCAAATCACCTTCAAACTGATTCTCTAATGCTTCTATTCAATGAAATACTTTTTTAAACAATGTCGGTTAGCCGGTAAGGTCAATGACACTCAGTTGAATTTTTTGCCAAAGTTAGATGCGCAATTCAGCTATGAATCGCAAAGAAATGTATTGAACTACATCAAATAAATGTTTGAGCAAAAAAAAGAAAAGCAATTGACAATAATTATCGTTTACTCACAATTCTTTTTCAAACAATTGAGAAATGTGAAAGAAGAACAAAATGTCTCGAAGCCGGTTGACAAAACTCTGATAAAACGAAGACTAAAGATTCGTATATATCCTCTCGTACTGCATCAACGTAACGCTATCCTATTGGTGGACGTATATCGATTCTTTCGAGATATGAAAGTAGAAACATCTAGAAGAACTAACCAAATGCGTTATAATTATGCGTTGATAAAATTTGATAATGAAATGTAAAACTTTTTGCAGATATAAATATATAAAAATGTGATTTACGTAACAAAAGCAATGAAAGGTAAAATTTTTAATACAAAAGATTTTCAAAGTACTGATTAGTGCCCATTGTCGAGAACAGCACCTCTAGGTGAAGCGATGAACTATATTAGGAGTTAAAGCGCGAAATTTTGAATGACATGCCAGAAAAATAAGTGATAAATATAATAAATTGCAGTAAGTTTATAACAATCATACGAAAAATAGGAGTAAAGTAACGAAAAGAAAGATAAAACCATAGAAACTGTAATTGGGAGAAAATAACAACAAAAAGTGCAACAGTCGATTATATTCAATTTTTTATTAGCTTATACAAAATTAAATTTTTAATTCCTGGCGTTGGTTCAGATAATTAATATAATAATGACGTCATATGAAATTTACTATTTTGATCAATCATTATCGCGCGTGGCGCTTAGCAAAGGTTCTTATCACGATTTCTTTGTTATCAGCAGTAGCTAAGAACTGCTGTCGATAAATTGAAACATATTATCGCACGTTCTGTACAGTGAAAAGATATTACACATTGTTACGTAATACTCATAAGGTAGACGAGGGTGTAGAACCTCGTCTGTGTTAAAACTATAAATGCAACAATATGAGCAAATGTTGAGAATAAAAACGTAAGGATACTTAATTATTTGTAAGAGATCATTGTTACATTCCGTCAATGAACATGTTCGCAAATACGACTCAACGCATATTATATTATTCTTTAAACCTTAATCGGTAACATTTAACTAGAACTTCGCATTTCATAGGTATCGCAGCGAGTAAGGAGATCGATTTACCAATCGATACTTGTAGCTTGCAGTTCACTTCAGTTCCCGCGTAAATTTTCCCGCGGGTGAATAATCACGTAGACGAATTTACATCAATTAACGTTTTGAAATCAGTTACTATCTTCGAAAAACATCAGTTTTGCATTCGGTGTTTCAAGTGACTAAAAATAATCATTGTGAATCATGAAGATCGGAAAAGAGTGCCTCGAGATAAGCAATTACAAAGTAGTCGACGAAAGATTACAGTTACCAGGATCACGGTAGGATCATTTTTTCGCCTTTCTTTTTCATTTTGCTACGAAAGAAAACTGCAATCGTATTTTGTGGTTTTTTTTTCCTACATTCTTTCGTGAACATTATATTCTTCGAATGGAAAGCAATATTTTATTTTGATATTACGAAGGTATTAGAAAAGACGTAGTAGCACTAGTCTTCAAACAATTATAGGTTACTGTACATTAGGAATTACAGAAACTAATGAAAAAACACGATGCCTGTAACTGTGTACTTTATTTACAACATATGTACAAACAAATAAGAGAAAATTTTCGTTCTTCCAATATTGACAGATTTAAATAATAAATTACAAAAAATAATGGTGCATATTTATCTCGAGATACCCTATATATACGATAAATGCACATTTATTACGCTTCGTATATTAAAACGAATATTTAACATTTTTTACAAAATGAAAACGAAGTCAGTCACCAAATGAATTTACAATGAAAGTACAAGCTGAAATTTTGTTTTTCATTCTACTGCCAAATGTTCAACGCCCAGACAGACAATATCGTGAATAACATCGTTACACTTTGCGACATTTTGTAACTCCTAACACGTTGACCAACACAATAATTTTTACCAAGCGCATACAGAGAGTATAGGATATGTACTCGTTCGTTTTTTTTTTTCTTTTCACATAGAATCACAGAATTTTTAAAACTCTGTGTGAGGTCGTTTCGCCAGCCAGTCAACGATAGCAGGTATCTCGTGAACCCTTTTCTTCAGTGCTCGGAGATTCGGATAATTTTCCAAAGCTGTCGCTCCAAATATATTCTCGAAATTCTCGAGTGCCACCGCGAACACGAAGTCCGCCCACGTTGTCTGAAAGGTAATTCGAAAATTCATTCATTCGTCACTTTTTTTCGCGCGAAAAATTTTACTTGAATTATAAAATTATAAAAAAATCATAATTATTATAGAAAAATTGAAATTTCTTTTTATATGCGTCTTGAAATATACTACTCTATTGAAAACAGTTCTAGGACAAACTCGTTCTATGATTATTAGGTTATGGTGCACAAAGAATTCCTATCTACCGGTGAAACACTCGATAAACAATTTGGCTATCACGAGGCGTGATTCGATCCGCAAAAAAAAAAATGACCCAATTTGTGGAAAGATAACCTATAAATTTTTTGCAACACGATGAAACACTCTTCGATGTTTATTCCCAATTTTTAATCAACAATTACATCCACTTTTTCCTACTTCTCAAATTGAAACTTTCACTATTTTCAGTGAATTCAGGCGACAAAAGGAAAAATACTCTAAATGAGCTAAAACTCTTCTCAGAAACGAAGTTCCAGCAAACACTCGAATCCAGAGATGAATATTGAAAACACCATTAGCAGAAGTGTATGTTTTCATCGCAAGCAACGAGGATTACTTTCGAAGGCGACGAAATATCGACGAACAATTTCTACTTTTTACTCGATCTATTCTGAGAACTTGTTGAACAGAGTAGTAAAATAGGAAAAGGTGACAAGTTATTTCAGCGTGTTTTTCACTAGCTGAAGCAATCGCCGCTCGCGTCAAAGTTCCCGTGGAATTTTATACATCGAGCGCAACTCGACATACATTTCCCTCGCCGTCTGTCCCCTCGAACTTTTTACGCAAACGGTAAAAATTTTAATATTAAATCCAACAGCGACTTACGGTGGAGCCAACAGTGTAACCCCCGTTCTCGCCTACGGTCTGCTCGAACTTGTTCAAGTAAAACGGTATCGTTTCTTTCAGAAGTTTCGCCTTCTTCTCCTCTTTCTTGAAGTGGTCCTCCTCGGTGCGATACTGAGACATAGCTGGAACACACACGTGCCGTCACAACTCTGACGTTCATTTGTCTTTTTCCTTCCGAAAAAGACGGGAAAAAAGAGAGAGAAACTTGTGAAAGAAGAAACGTGTTCACGTCTCTACGTGGTTTTTTTTTTCACAATTTCTCTTTCGTTTCTCTCTTCGTTTCCCTCTGATTTTCGTTGCCGCGACGAATTTTCATAGTTTATGCTGTTTGACCGTAACGCTTCTCTTCTTTTCACCTTCGCGGTGAAAATTTCTTGGAAAGTTGGAGAATCTTTTTAGTAGACGATCAGACGCGTGGTGGTAACTTTGAAGGGAATATTTTTTGAAATTTATTTTGAGGTTAGTTTGGAGTTTTTATTAGTCCCTCGTGTTGTGGAAGTTTCCGAGCTCGACCATTCTATTTTTTCCGTTTGATAAGTTAACGGAGATTGTCTGGAAATATTTTAGATAGCTTTATTTCCAATTTTAATTACTCCTTGCGTTGTGAAAATTGTCGAGTTGAAAGATTCTACTTTTTTACATTTTCCAGAGGAAGATTTGAATCGAAATAAATACCTATCGGAGTAACTAGAAAAATGTGTACGTTGATCTTGAAAAGGTCACAGTAACCAGAATTATCGAATAACAAATTGCATAGTTGTATCTGTATTATCACGACGAGTTTAATCTCTTACTCAACGCACATTTCCTGGCATAACAGATACGCTTAGCTTGTTTCGTTAGCTTCACATTTTTCGTATGTCACGTAACTATATGTATATGATAAAGCATAGGCAAAAAAAAAAAAAAAAATGGAAAGAAATCGCGTAGGCGTGTCGTTTGTAATTACGTTCCTCGATGATTATGACAATCGACGATAACTCGAGCCCATCGAAAAAAAAACACGTATATACTTTATATATGGATCGGCGATGTTACCAGCTGTTGATACGCGTCGAATCGTCGATACAACAAGGCGAAACGTGGAATGGAAACAAAGCGTAGAATGGAAAACGTGAGAAAAATAAGAAGGAAAAAAGAGAAGAATTATACTCGTGGGATTCGCAACTACGATCAATTTTAATGGCATAATACGATATCGATACGATAATTTTCCACGGACGACGCAATTCGTGCATTGAAAGAAGAAAAAAAAAAGGCGGGAAAAAGGGAACAGAATACGTTGATCGTTACATTATTACTGAATCGATGGCCTGTTTCCTTCGTTCTGTCTTTTTTTTCTTCTTCCTTTACTCCGGTAATAATTCTCCAATTCGATCGAATTGTTACGATTCGCCAGTACCTTCAATTTATGCGATCTACGCGCGCGGATCGTTAACGCATTATGCAAATATCCAGTGTAACGCAATCGTGCATATCGTAATTGGAAATTAGTAACGTTATTGCGAGCCGCGATCTTTCTTTGTTACACAGTGCAACACTTTGTTATTCCTCAGTTTTTACGGGGGCGAGAGAAGAAACTGTGAGTTGAAAAGGAAAAATTAGCCGATGCGAATGGAAAAGGAATCTTGCCGAGGTATTTGTGTAAATCAAGCAGAAAGTGAATTATAATCGAGGAATGGCGTAATCGTTAGATAAAGTTAATAAGCAGAGAGATAGCAAAGTATCTTTTAATCCGAATATCAGACGTTTAAGATAATCTTTGTAGTTACACAATTATGTCAGAATTATAATTGTAATCGCCACTTTTATATTCCAAGCGGAAGCAGAGAGATGTGGTATCGTCTAATGAGATCTTCTTGCGGCGAGAGTTTAATTCAGAAGAACGAAGGAGATCGAATTAAAAATCGTAAAGAAATGCTGCACAATTGCATCAGTTAACGCAATACTCCAGAAACGCTGTGCAGAAAACCACGTATGAGATGGGGAAATAACTGGTTGCATTGTTATTTAGCATAACACACGGATTTTCGGATTTAATCAGATTCCATGTCAGAGAACCACTTTCCAATATATCCCGCACGAAACCTCGAAACTTTAATCCATTCAACCTGCGCACATTCTCTCGCTCTGTGTGTTTCAACATTTCGCAACCCCCGTCGAAAGAAGCTCGAACGATGACAGAAAAGTTTCACGGAATCGTGAAACACCTCTCTTTATCAATTCCCCTTATCTTCTTCTCTAAAATGGATATAATTCCACTTGTCTTCTACGAAAGTATCGATAAACTCGATCGGACAAGATTATCCGCGTAGTATCTCCCTCGAAGATACGCACATAATCATGGTGGAATAAAAATACCTGTTGAAAGATGTTGTTATATCGATGAAAGCAATAATCGAATATCACGAACGTGTCCCCGTTTCTCTTATCAGCGAAACCTCCTCGTACATTTCATACGACGAAACGACACATCTCGTTTTGCTGTCATCTTGTGAAGGATGGGGATGCTCGTAGAGAATTCTCCCCTACTCTCTCTCTCTCTCTCTCTCTCCATATCAGACAAACGGAAAGTCACACATAGAAGCCACTCACATTGCTTGAGATCTCCAAGAGTATCGACGAGAACGTCGCACATCATCGCCTCCCATTCGTCCTTTCCGGTTAGATTGTGCTTCCTAGCCAGGTATTTCGCCACAGCGTTGCTCTGCGCTATCGGTTTCCCGTCTATCTCCAGAACAGGCAGCATTCCATAAGGCATCGCTAAGAACAAACAGTTGAGAGTGAAGCAAAGCGTGTTGCGAAAGGGGTGGAAGTAGAGGGCGGAGGAGAGAGAGAGAGGAGAAGGGAGAGGGGTGGTGGTGGTGGTGGTGGTGAGATCGATGAGAAATCGCGAAGCTTTCGAGGGCGTTGCGTTTCGGTGAATAGCGGCGGGCGAAAATCGCGGGAGGCTTTTAATCAGCGTGGCCTACTAACGAAACATATGCCTTCGTTTTTTCCCGATTGCGGCGCGAACGTCTCGAGTATCGGCCGTCTTAGACGCTTCGTGCGAATATTTCTCCGCGGTGGTTGTTTCTATTTTTTTTTTTCTTTCTTTTTTGTGAAGTTGTGCTTGAGTGTGGGTAATTTTTCGTGTGTTCTTACCTCTTTGTGTTTTTCGTTTTAAGTTGTAGTTGAGTGTAGTTAAGTTTTTGAGGTATTTTCTGAGTGTTCTTACTTCTGTGTATTTTTTTTTCTCTTCTTTGTTAAGTTGTACCTGAGTGTAGCTAACTTGTTGAGGGATTTCTCGAGTGTTCTTACTTCTGTGTATTCTTTTCCTTTTTTTTTGTGAAATTGTGCTTGAGGGTGGGTAATTTTTTGAGTGATTTTCGAGTGTCCTCTCTTGTTTGTAATTTGGTCTAGGAGATTTTTGTGCCAGGTTTGGCATTGAGAAGATTTCTCATAAGTTCGTGAAGAATTTTATACCGAAAGGATCGGTATTTTAAACATGCTTTCACAATAAGTAGGAATTTTTATTTTGTGTTGTGTTATCTTGTAAATTCGTGACAAATTTTACACCGAAATTTAGATCAGCCTTCTCTATAAAATTCTTCGATTTTTCCTTAAAATATGAACATGCGAGATGACTTACGACCTCATGAAATGCCCTAACAATTTAACAAAATTCTGAAGAACTCAACTAAATGCTCCGAGGATAATTTGAAGTTGAGCACGAATCAATCGAAAACTAACAAAAGTGTACATATTCGCGATATTAATTGTCACTCGTTGAATTCGTTATTGTTATCGTTATCCAATCTCCGTTGTGTTGCGAGCTTTTAATTCGCCGTGCGAATGATTTCTGTAGCGTCGATCGTGGTGAAAAGTTGCGTCTACACTTTGTCAAATGTAGAAACAGAAATTTCCTCCCGTTTAATGGTAGGTTGAACGTGTCGGATTTGCAAGTGAAAGAAACGCGGGAGACCGGTGTAAATTTTGCAGCGTGAATAGGATTTTCATACTGAAAGGCGAAAGTAAAATCGATTTGGTGCACTTACATTTCTTCAATTCAGGCCACCGTTCTTTGGGGATCCTCTCGTCGACATAGTCGATGCCAGCGTATGCAAATATGTAGCGTATATGCTCGGCACGACCACGGGCGTTAAAGTAGATCAGTTTGTAAGTCGGCTGTACCTCGCACATTTTCCCTTACCTGCGGATCTAGAAGAATGTCTTAATTTATCGTACGAGCGTCGACAGTGACGGTTCTGTGAAATTAGGATCGATGGTCCTTCGAGAACCAATTCTGTCCAACCGAATTCTCGGTTTGCTTGAAGTTAACGCGGAAAGCAAAGAGACGGATGAAATTTTAATTAATTCGAACACGAATTCTCGATTTATTAGGAATATCGCGACGAATAGTAAATGAAATGTTTAATGGATTTCGGTGTATTTTTATTCGAAGGACTTTTCGACAAACTTTTAATCTGTTCCCGAAGAATTGCGAACGAAAAATGAATGAAAAGTGAAACCTGGGATAAAATTGATATTAGTTTGAATAGATTTTTGTTCAACGAATCCTCATTTTAGCAGGAATATCGTAATGAAGAGGTAATTACACGAATTGTAAGTGAAACACACCGACTGAATTTGAGTGTATTTTTATTCGAAGGATCTTCCGACAAACTTTCAGTCTGTTCATAAAGTAGCGCGAGTGAAAAACTGAAGCGTTGGATAAAATTTAAATTTGTTGAATTGTAAATGAAACACCGAATGAATCTGAGTGTACTTTTATTCGAAGCATTTTTCAACGAACTTTCAATCTGTTCGCGAGATAGCGCAAGTTATAAATGATGAAATAACGATGAAGGTAACCAAAAAAATACGAACAAGTTTTAATTTTCACGTTTTCCAACGAATCTATTCGAGAGAAATTTTCAAACGTAATTCGCGTCAGTTTCTACTCCGAAGAACCATTTTTAACAATACAGAAATGAAAAAGAAGAAGAAGAAACTGACGTCTATCAGCTCTAAAAAAAAAAAAGCGATGAAATTAATCGGGGAAAATACGGTGCAAATACGGTAGGTAAGGTGAATTTGCCAAGGCATTAAAAAAGAAAAGGAGCAGAAATCTGGCACAATTTTTCAAGACAGAGGCACGAGAGAGATAAGAGGCGCTCTGGGATCTGCCTCGTAAATTTCGAAGCATTTAACGAGGTATCCTTAAAATCGTCGGACAATAGCCTCGCACCTTCTATCCCAGGGCAAGAGAACGGAGCTTTTAAAGCGGAAAAACGTGAGGAGAGCCCGGTGACCGCAAGCTCTTCGCCCCCTCGAAAGATTTTTCATCCCGTCCAATCCACCCCTGTAACCTCCTTTCGTAGCTCCTGTGTTACAATTTGTTGCTTCGAATCAGCCCGTAGTAATACCGCTCTGATTCTCCTCTTAATTTTTTATCACGTGAAAAACACCTGTTCAAACGGCAAGTAACTCCGATCCAACGCGTCCTGCCTCGGTGAATGGCTTATTTGTTTGTTGGAGGGTGTGGATCGATTATGGCGCATCGTGTGTATATTGTAAAAAGTAGAAAACAGGATTCGAGGGAGAAATGGAAGAAAGTAAATATTAAATCTTGTAATATGAAATGTGGGATTTTTCCAAGAGGGAATGAAACTCGCTTTGTAATTCAGATGTTATCCCTAGGTTCTGCAATTTACCGAGAGTCTTGTGAAATTTAACGGTCGATGTGGGAAAACTGAGGATTTTTCGACACTCGAGCGATCAATTTTTAGACACTCGCGTGATGATTTAAGCGATCAATTTTGCGGATCACTGGAAATGCGATTTTTCGTGTTGATTGAGGAAAGTAAGGCCAGGAAGAAGTAAATTAAGAAAAGGAAAGATTAACGTGATCGAGGAGACGATAGATCAGAGTTCAACGTCAGCGCAAAATTCCGAGATAAACCGCAGACGAACGTACGAAGACACGATCGTTTCCTCTTCACGCGATAATCGACAATGATTGGTCGCGATCGTGAAAAAGAAATTCCTCCGTGAATCTGGTCCGTTTCATTCGCAGATACACAGTTGAATGGGAATTAATATTGAACGTGGCGTCGTTCTTTGTGCCACGAAAGTTAATTATCTCGCGTAAAGGTTACCTCGCGCACGGTTTTATTTAACGAGCTGCCGCGATCCTCGATTGAAAAACCGCCAGGTGGAAGTTGAAGTTTTCCACGGAAATTAATACCAGCAGTAGGTGAACGAGGCTTGAAAAGAAAACGGCGCAAGAAACGGCGGGGTTGGATATCGTCCTTTTTCCATCGCGATCTAACACGTGCAACCGACTCTTGCAACTTCCGTCGAATTTCTCTCTTTCTCTTCGCCTCGTCGGTGTTTCTCTTGCTGTAAATGCATGGTGATTTCGATACGGAATTCGTGAAAGTAAAGGGGACGGAAATGAGAGGAGGGAGGAAAAAGGGGGAGCGCAGGATTGATATTAATTTCTCTGTGACAATCGTTATCGATTATGCCATTACTGCGATACCGCTCAACTTTCTCTTGCTCTCTCTCGTATTTCTCCGATTCCGCTGGAAAGTATTGAGTTTTCCCCTGGAAAACGAGGGAAAACCGGTGGACATCCTAGGTGGTTTATGTTTCCTTTCTTTATCGAGGCTACACGACACCGAGGACATTGATTAATTGACTTGTTCTGGATTCTTTCGATATTGTTGTTTTGTCAAACAATACACAAAAAGAATCAGCGGATATGCGTGTACTCACGTGTCGCGCAACCACGATGGAAACTTGGTTTTAAAACCGGTGTGCCTCTGTCAACCTTTCGCGAGATACTGACTGTTGCTGACTGTGCGAAATGTTTCGCGTAATCTAATCTAGTATCTTTCGTGAAATATCGGAACTTATTAACACCGGGTTTTGTACTTAAGTGGGAACAGCGTTGGTGTTGTTAACTTTGGGAAGTAATGTGGAATTGTCCTGATGAGACGTTCAAAATACACGCGAAATCTTAACATCGTTTTCGTAGGTTTGATGTTAATAATTTTGTAGGTATTGGAAAATTGGGTTTTTACGAAAATTGTAAAATAACCCTTTGAGGGCTGTTTAAAAGTTCGACTCTAATTTATGCATAAAGGCGTGCTTTGGAATTATTTATTACAGAAAGTGTAGAAAATGAATTAGTAAGTGGATAATTGGTTACCGCGTGCTTCCGATAAATTTCTAAAGTGCCAAAATTAACGATTATTACAACAGCCTTAACATAATTTCTGCAGCTAAATAATTTTCTACATTTCCCTTCGAGAGTTATTCCCAATTTTCAACGAAAAACTCTATCTTCTGCAGCAATTCAATAATCAGCAATATTTACCAATCACTGTCCAGAATAAACGACTAAAACAGAAAATATAGCAAATTAAGTAGTAACTGGATAATTCTTTACTGCGTGCTTCAGATAAATTTCTGAAGTACCAAAATTAACGATTATTAAAACACCCTTAACATAATTTCTACCCTTCCGACCTAAATAATTTTCCACCCGTCGAGGATTATTCTCAACGTTCAATCAAAAACCCTCTCTGCGACAATTAACGCTTGAAGACTGTATCTACCAATCACGATCCAGAAAACGTAGCAAATGAATTCCCCTCTGTATGCTTGAGATAGATGTCCAAAGTACCTCAAATTAACGGAACATCAGACTTGGATTGAGAACAATCGAACCGTGAAATCTTCGACTGCACTCTTCGAAAACGATTCCGTAATTCACCGACTGGTGAACCGCTTCCGTAACCGTTCTGAATTGAAATCTCGACCACGGATCTCTGGCCGCCTCGTTTTCGAGGGTAACGAGGGGGTTGCGTGTTGACGTGCGTGCAGGAGAGGGTGTTATCGAGACGCGGAGGCGTGCTCGAGCAGATAAGTCGAATATGCACGCGGAAATCGTCGAGATTCATTGCCCACGGTTCGCCGATAGGCCGAAATTAACTTCGCCTCGTTCGATTTCCGTGTTTCTCCTCTCGGCTTTCACGCTTGTTAGTACCGATCCTTCGTGGCTTTTTCCTACACACGGGGTAAGCTGATATCGCGCTAGGGATACGTGTGTGCACGCGTGAGAATGGTGGAAACGTAGAGAGAGAACAGAGGGGCGAGCTTTAGAAAACGTCGAGAATGGAATATGGTCGTGGCTGGAGAATTATTGATGCGGAGAAGCATGCGGATTTTAGGTTTTACGGCGGAGGAGATGGAGATTCGCGCGGAGGATGTTTGGAGAGCTATAAAAAGAAGTCGTCTTTTGGTGTCTTCTAAAGAACGAAGATACGCGCTTTAATATTACCTTCTCAGATTTTTCTTTTCTCACCGTGTGCATTTTTTTGTTTGCTACAAGATTTCTAACTCGCCGTTTTTTCGTTCGCTAAAGTTCTCTAATGTAATTTAAGTTACATTTCTTCGCCAGGTTTGTGCACTCTTTATTCTACGAGATTTCAGGCTGAATAATTTTCACTTTGGAGCTTAATCATTTTTTGACCGTTCAAGTTTGCTTCAAATTCGATACGTGCCTTGATACTTGTAAGTGTCGAAAATTCAGGGACCATTTTGAAAAATAATTGAGAAACGTACACTTGTCAGCGTTTTAATCAATTTTACACTTCAATTGATTCTCTCTAGTATAATAGGTGTGACTCGATTTCGAAAAGGGTTAAATTCTGAGTAGACCGTTACGTCCATACGCGGTGTTATTAAAGAAGAAACCGTCGTTGGATAACGATGTAATCAATATTCATTTCGTTGGATGAGCCAGAACACTAGATTGTTCCTTACAGTGTTGGACGAATAGACGTTGCGACAGTTGTTTGATCACGTGGCGCTGCGATAATCAGCCGCGACACGTGACTAATTTCTAGAGCGTCGAAATATCTGGTTTCCTCGTTTCGTACGCAGTTGATTTGAGGAAGGACCACAGCGAAAGGAACCGTGAAACGATTTTACGTCAATGGAATTGGTTGATCGTAATCAGCTCGATCGATTGAATTTCCCAAATTGCACCGAATTTCTTCGATTCGAGAGTCACCGACGAAGCTGTAGCTCGTATTTAACAAGTTCCATTAGGCGAAAAAAATGCTGTTACACTCAAATCCCAAATAACACCGAGAAAGGTAGATTAAAGTGACGAGAATTTAACACAATTGACATTTCTCCATAAT